ACTTCACCTGGAAAGTGAGCCTATTAACTGTAGTCTTCTTGACAAGACATTATTGGTACTGGCCTTTCGGGTCGGGTAGGGTCGGGTGTATCATATAGTAGAAAGAGAAAGTTTGTTTATTCTTGAGATTTGGCTTTGGCAAATATTCTTTCTTTTATTTACCCTTCACTTGTGGTCTTACATACTTGATCTTGATGTGATGAGATGTTCTGGCCATTAATTTTGATGTAGTAATTTTTCACTCTGCAACGGCTAGTGGTAAATTAAATGATTATTAAAAACACATAAGTGAATGAATGTGGAGAACTGGAGATAATGTTGGTTTCTACTAGTGTTAAACGAAATGAGTTGAACTCGAGTTACTTAGTGATGTGTTGAACTCGAGCTCGCTTAATTGTTTGGCTCGGCTTATTTAGTAATGAGTTGAACTCGAGCTCGTTTAGTTATCGAGCCAAAACTAAATAATAATTTCTATTTTTATGTAATTTACTATTGCTCTGCTTGTTAATGGTTGTATTAAATTAGTAAATATGATAAACGAGTTGAGCTCAAGCTCATTTATTGGTTACTTTTCTCGATAAAGGCTCAAGCTCAGTTATTAGGAGCTCAAACTCAGCTCAGCGTTTTTCCGGCCATTTTCAAAAAAAAATTTCATGGGATTGTAAGAACATAGATTTTGTATACTATTATCCATGTTTTTGTACCAAAATCAAACTAAAATTGTCCAGTTCGAGGCAAATATTCTTATATCGTTTCAATCCAGAAAAAGAAACAAAGAAGTAAGAAATGGGAAAAAAACGTGTGCGGTCCCACACATGTGAAGCGCACCATAAGCAGGGAAAGCTCAAATGAAGTCCAAGTGGGGTTTCATTCTAAAACCAATTGGTGGAAGAAGGAACTAGTCCACTAGACTTATAAATTAGGCCTATTTTCCCTATTAAACGATGTGAGACAACTTACAAGCGAATATTTTAATACGTTCCCTCACTTCTGAGTCCTAGCTCAAGCCCATATACGGAGCTTGGTGCCACAAGCCCTACTAGAAACAGGCTCCCATAAACGGGTACGTCATCGCACGGTCCCACATAGAACCGGCTCTGATACCATGTAAGAAACGAGGGTTGACGGGTACGGTCCCACGGACATGTAGCGCACCAAAGCAGGGAAGCCCAAATACAGAGCTGGGAGAGAAATCGCAAGATATTGTTTGTTTATGTATTTTTTAGTAAAACAATCTCTCGTGCTCGTTATGTCTTTACTGGTATAGAAATCTCTCGTGCTCCTTCTGCCTTTTCTGGTATAGTAATCTCTCGTGCTCCTTCTGATCTTACTGGTACATCAATCTCTCGTGATTGTTCTGACTTTACTGGTACAGCAATCTCTCGTGCTCATTATGTATTTTCTGGTAAAGCAATCTCTCGTGCTCGTTATGTCTTTACTGGTACAGCAATCTCTCGTGCTCGTTATGTATTTTCTACTAAAGATCGTTATGTCTTTACTGGTACAACAATCTCTCGCGTTTGTTATGTATTTTCTGGTACATCAATCTCTCGTGCTCGTTATGTCTTTACTAGTACAACAATTTCCCATGCTCGTTATGTCTTTTCTGGTACAACAATTTATCGTGCTCATTATGTCTTTTCTGGTACAACAATATCTCGTGCTCGTTCTGATTTCAATAGTATATCTGTCTGTTTTGGTATTTGCGCAATTGGTAATTCTTTAGCGACTTGGATGTTGTTTTCCGATGCTTCTCTTCCCAATTGGAAAAGATTGACAGAACCGTAGCTGAATATTCAGAAAAAGATTTAGAAGATTTTTCTTCAAAAATCAGGAATTTATTGGACAAACTAGGGTCTCGAATTGCAGTGTTTGATTTTGGATATTATCCAACATATGTCATCAAGAACTGGGAGGCAAGAGTTGTTGTTGATGACGGTTTTTTCATTCATAATATGAGGTGGGATACACCTCGTGACAATGCTAATGCTGAAACTCGTAAAAAGACCCAAAAGGCCAAGATTGATCGAAGGATACTTTATGCATTCACAGTTGATATGATTAAACCTCGTTTCAATATCAATTTTCTTAGTTCATTTTGGACGAATGTTTATCAGCAGCTTTGGGATGAGAGTTTTGAGTACTGGTTAAAACAGCATAATAATATGATTAAACCTCGTTTCAATATCAATTTTCTTAGTTCATTTTGGACGAATGTTTATCAGCAGCTTTGGGATGAGAGTTTTGAGTACTGGTTAAAACAGCATAATAAGCATGCCCCTGACCTAACTTGCATGCCCCTGACCTAGCTTGACCTAGCTACTGATAAGGTAAAATACTTTGAGGCTACCATGGGATGAGAGTTTTGAGTACTGGTTTAAACAGCATAATAAGCATGCCCCTGACCTAACTTGCATGCCCCTGACCTAGCTTGACCTAGCTACTGATAAGGTAAAATACTTTGAGGCTGCCAGGTTTGTAAGATGAGTTGTCCTTTCAAGATAAGTGGTATCCCTAAAAACCCGATGTCATTGACAAAATTTGCAAAGTATCTGAATTTTAGCTGCAATATTAAATTCTAATAAGTCCATTTGTTCAAACAAAAGACAATAATTCGGTACAACAGAATAAACATAAGGCACAAACACGAAGGTTGCTTAAAATGTTCTCGTCAAATGAAATAAAACTGAATGTAACAAAGCAAACCCGAGCCACCTGCCACCTGGCACTCCGGCAGACCAAACGCGCGCAAAAGTCGTGAAAAACTCAACCCCAAAAATACACCAAAATTAGTTGTAAACCATATACTTAGGCGTGGCACTGAATTTTTGGTAGCCTTTGATGACTTTATTGACCGCATCAAGAAAATCTTTCTCTGTGACCGTTTTCCTTCTTGCCCTGATGGCATACATACCAGCTTCTGTGCAAACGCTTCTTATATCGGCACCTGATTTTTAGAAACCGTAAAAGAAAATAATCGTCAAACATAATACGGGCTTTTGCTTAATCAGAATCTTTTATGGGAAGGATAAATTATCAGGGACAAGTTTTTTCAAGAGTTCCGAGTAAAATTTCTATCATGGCAAAGCAAACGAATAGTATAATATAAATTGAAATTTTATGCGGAGGAGTTGTAAAAGTTGGAACATTTCTTTACTTTACCAGTAGAATTCGGGCAAAGCCGAGCAAGGAGTTCAAAACGGATATCCCTCTCGCAATTCATGGTCCGTGTGTGAATCTTGAAAATCTGAGTCCTACTTTCCAAGTCAGGCAGTCCAAACTCTACCTTGCGATCTAGCCGTCCAGGACGTAGAAGTGCCGGATCAAGAGTATCGGGTCTACATAATTGAAAGAAAGAATAAAAAAAAAAATCGAAAGTCATTAATTTATTTAGGCTATGTTTGATAACACTAGCTATATCAGCTAGCTTATATCTTTTAATGATATGCTTAGTAATAAATAAGCTAGCTTATAGTTTTACTTGGTTATAGATTATAAGCTTCATATATTCAAATAAGATCGTTTGGTAGGAATACGAGTTTTTTTCAAAAAGCTCGGATAAGTTTCTTTAGGTAGCTTTTCAAATAAGCTCGTTGAAATTTTTATTTCAGCTAGCTTATCAGCTAATTTACCGAACACTTTAATCATATTAGCCAACTTTTAAGTTATAAGTCGTAAGGTATAGGTATAAGCTTGAACATTACTAATAAGCTACAAGCTAGCTTATTAGTCAGTAGCTAGTAAACATAGCTTAAGTAAAATTCGAGCAGCTTATGACTGAAAAACTAGCTTATATGATAATAGTGTTTGTAAAATTAGCTGATAAGTCAGCTAACAATGAGCTTATTTGAAAAACTACCCAAGAAAGCTTATGAAATAAGTCTGAGCTTTATAAAAAAGGTCGTCCTACCAAACCAAACTTATTTGAACACAAGAAGCTTATAAGCTATAAGCTAGCTTATATATTTACCAAACAAGCCTTAATAATCATTGATAATGATATATATCACAAATCTTGTGTCGAGAATGGAAAACCAAACTAAACTAACCTATTGGTAGCCATGAGTACTTTAATATTTCCACGAGCATCAAATCCATCGAGCTGGTTCACAATCTCAAGCATGGTGCGTTGAACTTCATTATCACCACCCACACCATCATCAAACCTTGCGCCTCCAATGGCATCCACTTCATCAAAAAATACAATGCAAGCTTTCTTAGAGCGCGCCATCTGGCAAAGAGAAATAGCCAAAGGCATAAGTTTAACAGTTTCCAATTTACGACTTGGACAATATATTACTACAGCAAAAATCTTTTTATTTTTTGTTTTTTAATTAATTACGGTCTTCTGCCAGTTTTGTAGTTCAACGGGACCAACCTGAAACAGTTCACGAACCATACGTGCACCCTCACCAACATATTTCTGAACAAGTTCGCTACCAATAACACGAATAAAGCAAGCATCTGTACGATTAGCCACGGCTCTGGCTAGAAGGGTTTTGCCAGTGCCAGGTGGGCCATAGCATAGGACCCCCTTCGGAGGATCAATCCCCAGCTTCACAAATTTCTCAGGGTGAAGCATGGGCAGCTCAACAACCTAAGTAAAACCAAATACCAATGGAAGACTTAAAGATATATATTCCAAATCACANTATATTACATATTACATATATTATAACAGACCTCTCGCATCTTTTCAATCTGCTCCTTACATCCTCCGACATCATTATAGGTGACATCAGGTTTTTCCTCCACAGTCATCATAGTAACACTAGGATCAATTTTTGGAGGCAAAGGAATCTGGATTTGATATTTATTTCTGTCGACACTGCATTTACAAGTACGGTGTAAAGAGTAAGGGTGTGTTTATTTATAAATTATCTCAATTCATACACAATTTATACTCAAATTCTAACTCAACTTTAACCCGACCCCAATATCCTCAATATTCAATATAATTAAATAATATCGATCCATCATTCTTACACATCACATAACCTTTAATTCACTATTCAGCAAATCAACTTTAATTATTTTATTTATTTTAATATAAACTCAAAATCCCACTAACTAACAATACCAACTTTTTCAAAATTAACCATGGTTAACCAAAAAACTTGTTTCGAGTTGATATATTTGTATCCAAGAACGCCCTAAGAATTCCTATCATGCCAGCAAATTGACAACATTCTGAAGCAACAAAGTCTCAACTCTCAAGTCCTACAGAACTCTGAAAACTTTCATCTAGTACTTCTTTCATTCTATTGAAATGAATAAATTCCATTAAGAGTTAAAGTTAAAGAGGTAAGGTAAATGAGATAAGTCAAGAACCACCAAGAAGGTTCAAATATGCAGCATGTCATTGACCCAGTGAGGTAATAGCTAAAGGGAAACAAAAAATGTTTTATCAAAAGAAAAATGTCCGATATGAAACTGAATGGGTTCTAAAGCAAGCAAGCTCTTATTTGGGTCACAGAATAATAAAGAAAATAAAGAAAATAAATAGCTTTTATGAAAAATAAATAAATGAAGTAGTCAATTTGGTAAACACACAACACTCGCTTTTGTAAACCGGGACATGGATGGAAGCTTACCCGACACGCATGCCTTCTTCAATATCAGTAGGGGAAACTTTATCACCCAATCCGACAACAAACTGCAATGATAGAATATAAGACATAATTTTTCAACCACCCCCAAATTTAAAAATCTTATCAACATCATGTCACATAACATAGTGTCTACAAATATAGTTGCTTAATTTTCGAGAACTGAGCATTGGAACTCGAAGGCTTACCTTTGCAATTTGCTTAACATTTATAACATACTTGGCATCCTCAGTGTTGGGATTAATTATCTTTGTACATCGTGCAACCTGTTCACCGAAGTTAAGTCGATCCATATTATATGCCAAAAGTGTGTATATAAAAAAAAACAAGAAAACTCATTCAGGAAAATAGAATTACGACCTGAAGAGGTTGCTCTTCCTGCATCATTTGCTTATCAGAAACAAGATCCCATTGACTGGGTGCTGCTAAACCAGTATCAGATTCCTTGATACCTATAACAAAGTAAAAAATTAACAGATCCTCATCAGCATTGATAAAAAAATATATATATGTAAAACCAAGTTAAGGATTCTAAAAACAAAATACTATTTTATAAGAAAAGAACAAAAAGGAAAAGCTAGTACTAACAATATTATAATAAATTAGTAAAAAGGTTCTTAAACCAAATTTAATCCAAATAATATATCACCAAAAGTTACTAGAGAGACAAAAATGTGGACAATTAACATACCACATAAATCATTGATCTTCTTTGCCATCTCCTTGATTTCCTTCTCAACTTTCTTTATGCTCGTCGAGTAAGGTCCCAAGCCCTACATACAAAATTTCATAAGATTCAACAGAAACCATAAATGCTAATATAGAAATATAAAAATACAAACTCATTTCATTTCGGACGCATTACACAAACCCCATGAAAATAAACTAGACGTCACTGTGAAAGGTAACTACTAACTAACCTTATGACTTGTCAGCAGTCAATATCCCTAGACAACTAAAGATGAGAGCAAATCTTCCAACTTTGAGTTCTCAACATAAACCATCAAAACCCATATCATCCAGCACAGAATTAAGGAAAAGGGCAACAAATTGCAAGGCTCGGCTACAGTAAAACAAGCTTTAACTACGTTTAAGAAACTAAAAGGAGCCAATTTTCCACAGAGTCGCCAAAACCTAGATCCTAAATCTCCCACCAAAACGCAAAAAAAGCTACACATTTGATATCTTCCCTAGTCTCAACACATGAACAAGCATCCAAAGCATTCAATTCAACCAAAAATGTGACCTCTCCCAATTACAAACATACGAGCAAAAAAGCAGATCAAAACACAAGGTTTATAGAAAATTTTGAAAAAGTAGATTTACATAGGTCTTGAGGAGGGCGATATCGTCTTCATCGAGGGGCCTAGGGTTTTTCTCGTCCTTGATCTCATCCTCAGGCTCCGGCGCCATTTTCGAAGATTTTTGGCTAGCTAATTTCCCTTTACGAGCTCGAGCTGGTGTTGATCGAGCGACTTTCTTGAAGAACATAATACATACACCGTTTTATATGTATATATATGATCACGTGCTTGTCACTTATTGGGCTGCCATATCCAATAAGATAAATAGGACAAAATTAAATAATACTTGGACCAGCAAAGTGATGCGCCATGAGTATTAATATGATGGGCTGCCAAACAAGAGTCTAATTTTGCTGCGATCATCCCCTTGTAGGCCTCCTAAAAGGTAACGGAGGCCTGCAAAGATAAATAAATTTGTCCTAGGTATCAATTCAAAGTCTCAAATATATTTTTAGTCTACCATAAAAATATCTTCTCTTAAATTTATC